ATTGTTAATATAAATTGTAAAAAAAATGAAATGAATTAATTGAATAATTGATATTATTATGGATAAACAATAGCCGTTTTCTTTTTTTTTTTTTTTTTTTAGCAAAAAGAGGAGAATATTGCTTTTGGTTTAAGTCAAATTTAAATAATTTCGATTTAAAACAAAAAATATTTTGCTTATTTGTTATGAAATTATAACAATAATATAAAATATATTGTAATATTAATAGACATTATATATATTTTTAAAAAAAAAATATGAAATAAACTATAAAATAATAAAATGGAAAATGAAAAAATGAAAATTCTCGTCATTTTTTGCACTCAATTTCTCTTTTATTTTGTAAATAAAATGAAAGAATGACAAGAATTTTACTTCCATTTTACTTGATTAATTGATTGAAATTAATTTAATTTTAAAATATTACAGCTGGTGTAACTCCTGGTATACATCGTCCTGCTACACATATACTATTGAAACATGCATCAAGTCCTTCAAAACCTGTACAAAGACCGCCAAGTTTAATTTTGGATACACAATGCGGTGTAACTCGTGTATCACAGAACAGATAAGGTGATCCACAAGTTGGTATTTCAAAATTGCAACCTGGTCGTGGAGCAAATCGATACATTTGTTCTGTATACAAATTTGATAGACCTGAAATTTTTCAGATGTTCAATACAATGATTATCATATATTTAATTACCTTTATTATTAATATTGTTATTATCATCTATAATGTTATCATATTTGTCATCAGGATTATATTCTCGTTATCATCTAAAATATTATTTTATTATATTATCATATTTATCACCAATTATTGCATCATTTATGCTTGTAAAAGTCATTTATATAATCAATATCAAATTTATCTATATCAATATTTTACACAAATTTTAAAATCAAATGGTTTTGATAATATAGAATGGAAATTGTGCTTTTAAAATGATTAAAAAAGAAAATGATAGATGAGGAGAGGAATATAAGAAGTGGTAGAAAAAAAAAAAGGTGATTATTTTTATCAATAATAGCTCATTGCTTCTCCTTATTTGTTAAATTTCTTGAATTAGAAACTCCAAACATACGATAATTAAATTAACGTCAAATTAATGAGATCATTATTATTAACATAGTTTGATGATAATAACGATCTCATTGATCGACAATAATTGATAATAAATTAATAATAAAAATAAAAAATGAATTGATAGTAATTGATAATAATAATAATAATAATAATAATAATAATAATAATAATAAAAATAATAATAAT